GAGCAATACATCTTTTAGTAGATTCATAAAGTATCTTTCTTTCTTTCTTTCTTCCTCTTTGTCTTTCTTTCCTTCCTTTCTTCTATCATTATTTTCTTCCCTCCTTTCTTTCTCTCTCTCTCTCTCTCTCTCTCTCTCTCTTCCTTCGAAGTCAAAATGAAGTCAAACACCCCCTGATGACTGAATTGAGTCTTGAAGCCTTTATTCAGATATGAACGCTTCTGCTCTGTTACAGATCTCTGGTTCGATAATTGATTTCAATAATCGTCGGTAGCCGTCGTGGTTCACGGGACTCAGCCGTCGGTGTCGCTTCGATCTGAGGAGATAAAAAGAAGTGATAATTTGTTTCTGTCAGTCGTGCACCTCCATGCCTCCCGCCATCTGTTATTTCATCTCAGCCTCCCATTGTGAATATTCAAACGTCTCCACAGCAACGCCACCAACATACAGGCAGGTAGGGGGGGGGGGGGGGGTACAGCGCTCTGTCTCTATCAGCACTTTATTGTGCTGTTATAATGGGTTTTATACTCGCTTGGTATCTGGTTTACTACTTTTTTGATATATTTCATATTTAACTTAAGGAGCCGTCACATTATCGTTCTGTGAGTTTACTATGAAGGTGAAATATTCTCTCTGTGCAGTGCGAACATAAGAGAAGAAGAACTCATAACTGCGGCACTTAAATATTAGAATGTCTGAACTCTGCACAGACTGAGGTCTCACTGAACTTAACCGGATCGTGAGGTGCTGGTGGACTCCTATGATGTCTTAATGTTTCTATTAATCTTCCACATTTTGTGCACGTTTAGATCCTGCAGAGAGACGGAAGAGACCGGCGGAGCAGCTGCAGGCGGAGGCCGCAGTCTGGAGCACCGGGACACCGGGACACCGGGACACGGGACACCGGGACGGAGCCGCTGCTGCAGCCGGGAATCAGCTCCAACTTGTGGTGCGACTAGTAGGTCTGACAACCGTCACTGCGCTCTTTATTTACGTTAACCATCAGTGAACACACGACCCGTTTATGTTCCGGCTTCAGGAGGCTTCAGTGTGAAGGCTCGTCTCACATCGAGAAGAGTTTATAAAAATAATGAAATACAACTAAAGATAATCAAATGTGATGATCTGTCAGTAGAGAAATATTCGCAAGAAATATTAGAAAATGTAATAATACTACAAATACTACTAATAGTAATAATAATAGTGATAATAATAATAAATAAATCAAAATGAAGTTGTAATATTCATATAATTTTCATGTCTCATATAACAAAACCTCCACATCAATGACCTCTCTGTTTTCTCTTCTTGTAAAGTAAAATCATTTTAACTTCTACAGCCAGAGATCTACAACATCACACTCACTTCAAAAAAACTAAATATTTCACAACCAGCCGTTCAATCATCAGATTTCCAACAACAAAATGTTTGATTTCATCTCCTTTTATTTATATTTTTTTCCAAATCTGAACACAGGAAGTACAAAGCCTCTGTCCCTGTGTGTCCTCCCTTCTGAGAGGAAACGAGTCGTACAGTTATTAGTGCATTCGATCCTAAAACCATGAAAAAATAGATTTGACTAAGAAGAAGAAGAAGAAGAAAAAGAAGAAGAAGAAGAAGAAGAAGAAGAAGAAGAAGAAGAAGAAGAAGTGCTACATAAGATGATGAGGCAAATCTGTCCAGGAAGAAGAAACAAACAGATGAACGGTTGCAGTGAGAGAAACAAACAGTCCACACATTATTATTATTATCATTATTATTATTATTACTATTACTATTATCATTATATAGACAACCGATGCATAGAATACTTTTCTCAAATCCATTTGTTTTACATAAATACCTACATTTTTCCAAAAAAAAAGAAAACAACTAACCAGCAGAATGAAAAGTTGAAAATGGTTCAAACTGCTCCGGGACCAGCTGGTTTCTGGCTCCGCCGCAGTGCTGCTGAGCAGGGCACACGCGGCTGCATGAGGTTAAACCCTCAATGAGAGACCTGATTGTTCATGGTTTTATATTTCTCTTCTTGTCAGCAAACCCCAGTAAATAAAAGCCTAAATGTGGATTATTCTGCCCCAGGAAATAGTCCCCAACACATGTATTATTTCCTCCTGTTTTTTGGATAAGAACTACAGTGACCAGCTGTTTCAGGAACCTTTTCAAACATGAAACTACAGATTTGTATTTTTAAAGGTTTACGTCTTCAGCAGGAACCAATGAGCCACAAACAGGAAGTCAGACCACATTAAGAGACGGACATGAGATTTGTTGACAAGAAGAGAATTATAGATTATCGTAGAGTTTAGAAACTCTGTTATTAGACGAGAAACTAAACGTTAAAAGTGAAGATTTCAGTCTCCTCCAACAGGAAGTTCAACTTTTAATCTACAAATTAAACTCCACTCATAAAATAATAGTTTGTGATTTTCAGCAAGTTCCACGAGTCCAAATGTTGTAATGTTCCTCTTTTGTTGCTGAACTTGTTTGTTTCCACAGAGAGTGACCGTCGGAGCCTTCAGGTGGTTTTTGTCAACTTGTAAAGCCCAAAAAACTGAAGAGTTTAGCACCGAAAAAAACTGATAAATACCAATAAAAAACTATAATGTCTGCATTCAACATTAAATGTTCAATAAATATAAAATACTAATTTCTCTGTAACAACATGTCTGTTGTTATTAAAGGTCTGAAGGTTTTCTCTCCATATTTTAAATTAGACAATTAGCTCGACCAAATAATTATCTTTGTTCCAACAACTACAATTCCCATGAGCCTTTGGCCGCTTGCCAGTGTCCAAGAGTCAAGGGATTTATTGTTGTTGGATGCAAAGAATCAGTTTAATATTCGATACTAATTGTTCTTTATTAAGGTGCAAAATGTAATTACATGCACAGCAGAAATTCATTTTCACGTCTCGTGGGACGATTTAGCGAAGTGAAAACATGCTAGCTGACAGGCTACATGCTAACGCTAACTAGCTCTGTTGCTAACTATTGTTTATTTTTTATTAATGAACAACCTGTTTAAACTTTAATATGCCACAATTACATAATTATTCAAATCCAGACTGAAGAACATGTTGAGTGTCATGTGTGTAACTATATCACGAGTGTGTAGCCTGGATTAAAAACCTGGATTATCAGCGTCTTTTTGTGATGATATGAATTATTAAATTATATTATTAGCAACCGATAAACACATGAATGTGATTACATCATCGTGTTCCACCTTAACAAGTTGACAAAGACCTTTTTCTGGACTTTAAGTAAAAGATAAAAGTGTAGTAGAGAGTGAAGTTAGAAGAGTAGATGGAGCCTGATTATAAAGAGCATCACAACCAGAGTTCATGTGTTTAAGGTGGATACTTCTCCTCTTTCAGACTCTCAGCCGAGCAGATTTCCTGCTAACCGTCTGCCGTCTGCTGCAGACAGACGCTCAGGAACCAGCTTCTCCTCTTTAATCGTCTCTATTTTATTTTATTTTTTTCAGGAACGCTGGCTTCCTTTTGGCACCAAAAAAAAAAGAAAATCCACCGCAGAGTGTTCAGTCAACGGCTGTGACCACGTTTTGGACTCCTGTTTGTTTTTTTATTTTTTGCCTCTCGGAAGCGTCAGATCTCCTCGTTAGTCCGACTCCAGCAGGAAGGAAGGAACAGTTTCTTATTTCAAGCTCCTCTTTCATGGCTGATCAGAGTTTTACTGTTGTTGTTGTTGTTGTTGTTGTTGTTGTATCCTTATCTTTAACAGGACAGTTTTGACCTCCTGCTGTTTGCATGAGCGTAATGCCTTCAGGAACATCCGTCAGTTCTCGGAAAGGTGAGTTATGTTTGTGTTCTGTGTTGATTTTATGTGCTGCTATGTATCTGTGTGTGTGTGTGTGTGTGGGTGTGTGTGTGTGTGTGTTATCTCTAATTCCGTGGAGGAACAAAAGATGAGAATAGAATAAAATGTCCAAAAAGTAACAAATATAACATCAGATGAAGCCTAACTATCACTGTATTTATGTTTTACATGATATCTTTTGTCTCGTGGGACATTTAGACATATTTTAGCTACGCAGTCAGTCAATGAGAAACTTGAGCTGTAATCAAACTTTAAATAATGATTTCAGGCAGACTTCTAAACTCTTCGTCATGATTTTCTTGCGGATGTTTTTTGGGCAGATTCTGATTTCCTCAAAACGTGAGACGAACCTGTAAAAATAATATCCAGCAAACTCGTCTGAACAGGAAGCAGCTGTCGGTCCGATCGCCATTTGTTTCTGCAACATGTTGCTTTTGGTAACTTTCCATTCGCGGTGGAATTCAGACGTCTGTTTTGAGTCGTGCATTTTACTGGATGCATGAGTCAGAAGTACAACGTTTAGTTTGATGAAGTAAAACATGTCGAAATAAGAGAGATGGAATGATGTCATGGTGCAACATCAGGTTTCATTTTGGAATGCAGGCCTCGGTTGAAAGAAGGAGAATTTGATTGATTTTAGAAAAGTGTCTTATTGTGTAAAAACACTTTCTTACTGGTTTAGTTTGTACGCTGAACTTTGGTCTTTTTTTTTTACCAAAACAGAGCAAAATATCACTAATCATTGCACAAAGTCACAGATAATGACGTCAATGTTTCTGATTTTCCTGTTCAGATGAAAAAGGTGAAGTAACTTGGATGATATGTTAGTTCAGCTTGTTTTATACTAAAAACCTTAAATTACATTTTTAATTAATGAATCTCAAATCCTACAGATTAATTACAGCTCATTGTTCACCTTGGTCCTCGTCGTCACTGCGTTACATTACTGGTACAGAGAGCTAAAGTTGGCCTCGTGGTGCGTTCAGTGTCTGCTTTTTACACAAGTTTGTGCAGGTTCATGAAAGTCAGCTTATATCTGTTATAGACACCAAATTTATTATTTAGAGTTTAAATTTACAGAAACGTCTCAGGGCTTCTGTTGAGACCTTTAACACTGAGCTGTTAGCATCACGAGCTAAAGTAGCTAATCCTGTTCATGAATCTAATCTGCTGATACTGGTCTGAACGCACTTTTAAAGTAATCTAGATGTCTGTCATTAAGTGTGTGTGTGTGTGTGTGTGTGTGTGTGTGTGTGTGTGTTTGCTGCAGTCTAGTCCTCACTGAGGACGTCCACGTCCTCCCCTCCCCCTCCTCCTCCCGGCTGCTGTGTGGCTGCTCTCCAGCGGTTGATGTGCTGACTTCCCTTCCTCTTCAGCAGAGCTTCAGGAGACTCTTCCTCCAACTTCTGACGCTTGTGCTTCGTCCTGCGGTTCTGGAACCAGACCTTCACCTGCGCACAGAGAGAGAGACAGGTGTGTCTGAATACAGGTTTGTCTTGATAAATACGATGTATTGCTGCAGATAAAACTAGATAATAGTATAATTATATAGTTAAAAACTGGTATTATTATTCTACATGTAGCTATGAAGACTTTTACAACGCTTGTGTTTTATTTCTTACAAATTAAACTTTTTATTCATGACAGAAAAGTATTAAAAAGTTACAGACTTACTTTAATACTCAGAGAGGATCATGTAAAATATAACTGCAGCTAACTAAGTAGTTAGTTTTCATGGAGGACCTTTGGAGGTAAGTATTTTATATGTATTGCTACCTTCTTTCTACTAACACAGTACTTCAACGTACTAGCTGAAGCGCATTACTTCTTCCGCCAACATCAGTCAGCTACCAATACTGCAATACTCCGTCTGCCACTGACAGTCATAGTAAAAGTGATTTAATATCCGTATGCAGGTAAAACATGACCCTGACTGTTAAAACACGTCCCGTCTGACAGATTGCGCAACATGAGCTCTTCTGCCTCAGGTGTCTCTTTGATACGACGTCGTCTCCGTGTGGGACGAGACGTTGAGTAATTATGATTCCACGTCGCTCAAATCTGTCGACGACGACTCGGACAATTTAAACAAAGTAAATGTTTGAGGAGGTGATTTCATGTTTGTTTTTGAGTAAAGTTTAAGTAAAAGTACTAAAAACAGACAAAAATACAGTGTTTCCTTTATGATG